CGCACCGAACCATGCCCCAGCCCAGAAGCAACAAGCAGGGCATGGTTCGGGGTGATGGAGCAGGCGCCAGCCTGGAAGCAACAAGCGAGCGCACAGCGGGTCCAGCGTGCGGCGGTTGCAGGCAGGGAAGGGTGCCTGGCTGGATCGCCCAGGAGCAATGAGCAACAAGCACCATGCCTGGCCCTGCTCCTGTGAGCCGTGGCCACCGCTGCTGCTGGCTGCAGAGCCCCGCGCCCGCAACTTGCTCCAGACTCCTTCCCTTTGTAAGCCTGGGCTGGGAGCCTCCCGCCTTGCACCTCTGCTGGGGATGCCTCTGCCCCGGCTCCAGAGCATTCCCGGCTGCTGCGCCCCTTGTAAGTTTCCCTGCGTTGTTCGGTTGCGGCCTGGGAGCCTGATCCCCCGCACCGTAATATACCCCTGCACCCTAAATATACCCCCGGCACAGTCTTATATACCCTGCGGGTTATACTCGTGCGCGAGGTATACAAGATTTTTTTTTACTGAAATAGCAAAAACCGCGGGGTATATTCGGGTGCGGGTTATATTTGGGTGCAAGGTATATTTGCTAAAATACGGTCATGTCAATGGAAATTTTGCCAATGACTTCAATGACCATAAGCTCAAGCCCCTAGTATGGACACATCTATAGTTACAGATAAAAATACAAAAATTTGTTGTCAAATCAGGAAGCACACCAATATTCAATTTGATTTTATTTCACGTGCCAATTAGATAGAGGGATACATTATTTTAACTGGTTTATGCACTAATTGAGGGCCAAGGAGTTATCAGCACAGCACCTAATAGTTTCAGTTCTAATACTGTACTGGTGTACTTCACAAATGTAAAAATTGTGTGTACTCATCAGAATAAAAAATGAAGAGCAATCACGGTACTACATACCTCTACCGCCAGATGAGGCAATTTTAGTCCATCCCTCTCCCTAACTCACATGAATACACATGCCTGAACATGTAACATGTAACATGTCCAAGGAACACAGTATAATTTAGGACTCAATGGACAGCTCTGACAGAAGCAATCTTCTGATTTCAGGCTTGTTTGGGGACATCTTAACTAAACCTTTTGCAATTTAAGAATAAGCTTACCACTGATATTTACAATTTTGAATTAAAACTGCCATGTCTTGCATCGTTAAAATAGCACTTTTAAAAATAAATTACAAATAAAATAATACAACTAGATTTAAATGTTCTCCCACTCTTTCATTCACTTTTCCTGATCCATTATGAAGATTCACTGTTTCTCCCCAGCCCACCTGTCCCCCACACATACATACATAGAAAAAGAAATAAATTAATTTTCCAACATTTCATTTGAGAGCCGGTATTACTTACCACCTAGACTGGATTCTTCTTTGGGAGAACAGAATGAGGGTATTTTCTTTTTAAATATTCCAGAAATAATGAAAGAAGTAAAAAATCTATTTACTTAGGACAATACCTAACCCAAATTCTCCTCCCTAGCAACTGGACTATTGTGACTTTTTCAGCTCCTGAGCTACTTACTACAGGTTGAAATCTCTCTAGTCTGGTACCCTCAGGACCTGACCAGGGCTGAACCAGAGAAGCTGCCAAACCACAAGAAGGTCAATACTATCTTGCAGCATTACCAACATTTCCACTGCTTACTGGGCTCATAGAAGACATGTAGGAGTACATTAGAGCTAAAGAACAGCACAGAACACTGAGAACAAGGGTGATGGCTGTAGACAAACTTTTTGCGACCACAGGAAACTTGGCCACACCCATAATCAGTGGTCATCCTGCTAACTAAAATCATGTTGGA